ATTATTTAATTGTAATCCTATTAATAATATATAAATATTATAATTTAAAAATCAAGATACAGAGAAAACCAAATCCAAAAAAAAATTGTGAGAAAAAAATAAACCCCACAGAAATTTCTGAGAATTATTGAGATAAAAAGTGATTTTATAGCATTAATATCTTGATTATTTCTTATCATAAATCGTGCTTTTTATTATCATATGACCCTCCATCGAAAATTATAATGTTTTCCAAAATACAAAAATGAAGTATAAAAAAAATATTAATAATTTTGATATAAATAAAAAAAATTTAGGCATCAATGAGAAGATTACGAATGTTTTGCCATCTAAATGGCGAGTCATCAGAAAATTCACTTGGCATCGAGTCTGGAAAAAAACATATTGGATTCCATTTTTCTTGATTTGGTCTTTCAATCGTTGTATCTGTATCCCTGCTTGAGAATGTGCTGTTGAGGACTGCCAGTCTATTTTCTTCATATACTAAAATTTTATGACAGAAAAGATTTCAATACATTCATATTTGTCAAATGGAAATTGAATTAATTCAACATCACTGAGTTAAAACTATCAAAATTTTCGCGATTTTTAATTAAAAATCGATAGAAGAAGTGTAAATAGAATTATGGGAAGCAGTATTATAATCTTTGTGATTCTTGGAAAAAAAGCTTCTCACAATTTTTTTTTAGGCTTTCTCCAAAATCGCTCTTTTTTCGGTTTAATTGTTGCAAAATTTCAAAACTATGAATAAATATGGCTCATAACTATAAAAAATAGATTTAACAATTGACTGAAAGACTTATCACCCGAAAACTGAAACAATAGCTTCTTCAGAATCATTTTCGAAATATTTTTGAATTCGGCCATTTGCGAAGTTTGCGATAAGGGAAATTTTCGTCATTCTTTTAGCTATTTGGGTTTTGATTTTTGACTGATGGTATTAAGTAATACTGATGATAAGGATCATTTTAGTGATTTCGTACGTTAAGACTATTTGGTTTGTATACATCTGATGAATGGCGATTTATTCATTCAAAATATCATTTTTGAGAATAAACTTTTTCTATCATCACAATATATAATGTCAATTTAAAATAATAATTTCTCTTTGTATATCATATTTAACAAATTAATTATTATAAAATTTGATCAATAAATAAATAATTATTCTATATTTAAAATATTGGAACTTAAAAAATCTCTCTTCCGGCTCATCCCAATTGGATAGAATGACCAAAAATAGCCATATTCGTTTATTCTTCATAATGAATAAAATCAACCTCACTATAATACATTCCTTCAATGAAAATCAACAAAGAAAAAAATTACCGATTTAATTCCAAAAAGAAAGAAAAAATTCTATGTGCGCATGTCATTTTCAATTTGAATGTTTTTGAAAAGACAGTTTTGGCCCCTTAAACGTTTGCTCTTTCATGGTTTAAATATTTTCTATAACGATTCCTTAAAGCATGCTAAATTGCAAATTACTCATAAAATTTCAATTCTCTCGATTTTTGAGAAGTTTTTTTTCAATGATGATTTCTGTGAAATATTCTGTGACAAGTGACCAATGGTCCCATTTAAATATTTTCTCAATTTTTTTGTAAGAAGAAAAACAATCTGAATTGTCTTGAAAGAAAAAATATTATCTCTTCCTTATTGGAAATATTAAAGCATGAAGCATTGAATACCTGAAATAATCATCAACTCTGCTTTTTACTACATGATAATTTATAAAACGTTAGATTTATATTTTATCTTATTTCAATTAATTTTCAAAAGACTCACAATATCTCAGAATTATCTTTTTGTTTTTAACCTTTTATTTCACCAAATGAATTAATTTCACAACATAATTCTGAATTATCTTTTCTAAATCAACGAAAATTATCCAACAAGCTCATGAAAATTGTGTTTATTTAAACCCATTCAAAAATTTAAAAACCTTACAATAAATAATTCAAAGAGATCTTGAATTGAATAGCCCAAACATCGAATCATTATTTTTGCTTGATAAAATCAGTAAAGTACATCGATGTCTTCATCATGTGACACAATAGAAATCAGCGAGATCAATAATGGTAACTTCATTAATGACAGAATTGTTTCATTAGAATCGAATTTAAGTTTCACTCAAGAAAATGTTGATTCTAGTTTTCCACAAGAATGCCTGCAAGATGCAGCCGAACTTATTCCAACTCTTGCTGTCGAAAAAAACAATTTGAAAGAAGAAAAATCACTCGAGCGTGGAATCTTATCATGGCACGTCAGCCTCATTTCACTTGGTGGAATTATTGGTTCCTGTTATTTTCTTGGCCTTGGATTGACTTTTTCAGAGCTTGGTCCAGTCGCTGTATTAATTGCATATTTTATTGCAGGAGTTGCCGTTTTTGGTGTCATGCAAAGTTTTTCAGAACTGTTGGTGAATATCCCACGTCATGGTTCTTTTGTTTCATACAATCGCGAGTTTTTGGGAGACTTGGCAGCAGCCGGAATTGGATGGGCATTTTGGGCAAATTGGGTTGTTTATGTTCCATCAGAATGTTTGGCCTTTGCAACATTCATGAACAACTTTTACACAATTCCATTTTCTAATAAGGCATGGTCTGACTTTGTTTGGGGTATGATATGCCTTATCGTTCTCACATGCATCAATTTATATCATGTGAAGTGGTTTGGTTACATTGAATCCTTCATGTCGATCACAAAAATTTTGGCTATTGTTTTCTTTGTGATTTGCGCAGTTCTGATTTTCTTTGGTTTCATTGGTGGAAACATTCACCCATTCCTAGATTCAGGCGGAATAATCGGTGACAGAATTATCACATCAGGTGAAGGAAGCCTTTCAGATAAGCTTTTTCCAAAAGGTGGTTTTGTCATCTTTACTTATATGATTTGGACTCTTGTTAACTTTCAAGGCTCCGAAATTGTCGGACTTTCTGCATCAGAAACTCAAAATCCTGAAGTTGCTGTTCCACAGGCTTGTAAAAGTGTTGCAACTAGGATTATTATGATTTATTTGATTCCTGTATTATGTTTGGTCTTTATTGTCCCACATGATCATGCTAATCTTGAAGAATCAATTTTCGCTTATGCACTCACTTCATATGGACTTGGTTGGGCAGCCAAGCTCTTCACATTCATTACACTTATTGCTGCATTTAGTTGTGCCAATTCAGGACTTTATGGAACAGTTAGATGTATGTATGGATTGTCTGTTGAAGGAATGGCACCTAAATTTCTTTCTAACTTGAATAGATTTAATGCTCCACAAAATGCTACACTCTTCACACTTGCCTTCATTTGGATTGTTTTCATTATTGGTTTCTTATCGGAATCACTCCACATATGGGGGGAAGAAGGTCTTCCACTTTATGCAAACCTTTTAGGTATTTCTGGATTCACTGGAACTCTTGCATGGGTTGGAATCATCCTTTCGCAAATTGTTTTCAGACTCCGTTTGAAAAAACGTGGATATACTTCAGACGCACTCACAGTGAAAGCTATGTTTTTCCCTTATCTTGAAATCTTTTCCGTTTTGATTCAACTTTCTGGAATGGTTTGTTTATTATTTGAAGATGGAGGAATAATTGTGTTCGCAATTTCTGCAGTTATCATTTTCTTGGCTGTATCTGTGTTCTTTACAATGAAGAAATGCGACAAAGTGAGAACTGACATAAAATATGCAATTGATGAAGCTTGCTTTGACAATAAATATCCACCACTTGAAGGATCTAAAGAATATTTCACTTCTGTATCAGTTATCATTCAGAATGAAAGATCAAGTGGCGATCAAAGCACTGAGCAGAGTCCAGAAACAGCTTCAACACACCAATCATACACAGATCCTGCTATAAATTTATAGAATAATAAATTGTTATTTTCATATATATAGTCTCACTTTTTATATTTATATTTTAGGGAAACGATTCAGTTTTGATTAGACTTACATAGCAACAAAATACAATAAAAATATCAAAGAAAGTTTTGATAGATTAGAACTTGAAAGAATTTATTAAACAAGAGAGAAAACAAATCAGGGCTATGATTTTGTTGAATTTTTTCCAAAATGCTTAATATCATTCTTTATATCACAATCGTGAATATGATTTTTTGTGAAAAAAAGGTGGATAAACATCTTAAAGAATTTTTTCGATGAGAAAATGAAAAGATACTTTAGCTTTCGAAAGAATAATTGTTATCTTCTCTTCAGACTGAGTAATGGATTATTTATCCTGGCTTTTTTTGAGCTGATTCCCACTTGGGTGAGTGGTGTAATGGTAGCATATTTGACTGTGACTCAATAGATCCGTGTTCGAATCACGGTTTACCCATATATTTTTCTTTTTTCATTTTTTTTCTCACATATTTGATGAATTTCTATGGTTTTGACCCAAGAAAAACAGTCTTTAATTATCCGTTCCATGTCTGTTTGAATGTTTGTTTTATTAGGAAATTTTCTTTCAAATAATTTCAATCTTTTCATTTTCATAATTACGATTTATTTTTCACTTATTACAAAATGTGAAGCACTATGAATTTATCTTATATTCAGAAACTCTAATTCTTCTCAGAATTCAGAAATAGTCAATTCCATGTAATTTCAACAATAATTTCTATCTTGACAATCACTTTCTAATCAATTTTTCATTTTTTATTAAGATCATAAAAGTGCAATATCCAATTTTAATGGTAATTATCCAAAAAGAATTCAAGAAATTCTGATTTCTTTTTTTCAAAATATGGAAAAATAAACGGACATTTCGCGCCACTTTTCATTCGTTATGGAAAGCAACGAACCTGAATCAGCAGCTCCTGAAAATCCCCCTGAACAAAACGAACAAGATCCACATCCAGAAGAGGAGCAAGCGCCTCAGGCTTCCAGTGCTACACCATCCTCACTATTAGCAAACCCGCCTCCGCCGACTTCTTCGCAAAATAATAATATTATCAACGATTCTGTTTCATTTGACGATCCAATGTTCCCCTACGTTCCGTCATTTGCTTCAAAATCACGAAAGGAGAAAGAATTACTTTTTTTGCGCGCTTTTGAAGAGCAAACTCTCTTCATTCGAAATAAGGAATTAAAATGCGTAAATTCGCCAGTATCGTCTTTACTCGAACCTGAAGACATTCAAAAAATAATCGACACTCGACAATCTTATCATGAATCTTATGAAAATTCGTTATCGCGAAAAGCAATCACCAGAAAAGTTACAGAATCGTCATCAAACCCCGCTCCACGAGTTGAAGTCGAAACAACGCCAACATTCAATACGCTTTTGAATGTCCATTTCGAATCTCAATTTTCGTTATTAGAGAAATTCAAAACACTCGTTTCACAAATCATCACACGAAATCGTGCGACCAAACGTACTCAGAATTTAACACAATATTTAATTAACCAGACAAACAACGCAGTCAAATCATTGCAGGATAAACAAAATGAGAAAGTAATGCTGACCGCAAATTCACTCCTGTCTCTTAAAATCGAATGCTGTCGAACAGAAGAAAAATTCGCCGAACCTTACCAGCTTCCTCTGCCGGAAGAGCCTGAATTCAATATCGAATTACATAATGTTGAAAAACCGTTTACATTTTATGTTCCTGGGCTAGTTGAACGTTACCAACTTACTCCATTTACGCGTACGGATGTCACTTCATATGTCGCTGCACCAATCGCGCCGCCGGAAACATTCCCGATTGTTCGGGAAGAGCAGCCAGTGCGCGAGCAAACGGTTCCATCACTCGACCTGACTGATGAGACCACCAAGGAAGTCATCAATCAAGAAGTTCAGCCGCCTGTCCAATCTGGCCCATTGCAAATGCCGAAAGTCGTTCATCATCCTCGAGAAATCCGTTATTATGATTTTGATCCATCTTATAATTTGAGACCACAGCCGATAGAATTACCTGAATTGCCCGATGAAATTGGAAAAGCATCAATTTTGGCACTTCCTCTCTCAGAATATGAAAAAATGTCGCTTAGTGGAAAATCAAAGGCTCCTTTTGCACCATTTGAATTTAGCGGCATTACTAAGTTCATGTGCTCCGGTCTGACGCCAATGACAGCCGCTGACCCAGTAGATCTGAGAGAACTTGAAGCTGATGATGATATCGATGGAATTGACATCACGCCAAAAGTGAGACCAATTACTGATTTTATAACGAAGCCATTAAATACGAAAAATAAGAGCCATGCACTACAAGAAGCAGTTACAGAAGGACAAACACAATGGAAAGAAAGGCAAAAGAAAGGAGTGTCTGAATTGATTGAGAAAATGAAGAATTTGAATAATTTAATGAAAGATAAAACTCTTAATTTGCCAATGAATGATCTTTTGGAATATATGAAATTGTAGTTGAATGTAAGTAATTTATGTTGTTTTATTTATTTATTTATTATAGGAGTCACGTTTATTATTTCATAAAGAGAACCTTTTTTTCAACTTCTATTAATTTTTTCATTTTTTCTTTTTTTTTTTTTATTTAATTAATGATTTCAAATGAAAGTCAAAAGTGACTTCTTACACATGATTGTATTTACCATTATTTAAGATGAGGATGAAAATAGATATCCAATTTCCGATTATGTGGATGTATTGTTAAATCTGTGCACTTGATAAAATTATACTATTGTCTGTTCAATTAATCAATAATAGAGCTGTTATGCATGAATGGACTAATTGACCAAAAATCGAAAAAAGTTTACAACAACACCTTTTCAAATATTTTACTTTCAATTCTTGATGTACAATTAGGTAACTTTTTGTTTGTATTATTTTCAATATGATGTGAAAAAATTGAGGGAGGTTTGTTTGAAATATGCAAAAAAGTACACATAAATAAAAATGAGTAACGATTTGTTTAATATGCTTGGAGACGACAATGAAGCTCCAGAAACCGATTTACAGAACGACTTTCAACCACAAGATTTAAACCTTAACGATAACCAAGCTTTAAACGCTGACCAAGAAGGTGGGATTGATCAAATGCTCGCAGGCGGCGACGACGACGACGATTTATTTGGAGGACCAAGCCAAAATCCAAACGACCAGGCACCTGAACCAGAACAACAAACGGCCTTAGTTGAATGGGAAAGGAAACGCCAAGAGGAAATCCAGAAAATAGATGCAGAATTATCTGCTCAAGACGAAGAGTTAAGAAAGCAGGCGAGCGCAAGTCTCGATAAATATTATAAGGGACTCAAGGAGTCCCAAGAAAAGCGTGCACAGTGCAATATCGAAACCGATCAACAATTTTTATCTACACAGTCGAACACTGACATCCCAACCTGGGAACGCGTTGTTGGTTATATTGATTTTAACAGATCTGATTTACATGAACGTGATGCTTCACGCATGAAATCTCTTCTTCTCCAATTGAAACATTAAAATACATTTTATTAATACTCTTTCAAAATGTATAATTTATTTAATATCTTTCTTTGATGCAGTTTTCACATCTTTAACATCAAAATGGTAGATTTTCATTTTTGATGAGTATTGTAATTGTGAAGTGAAAGGTCAAATAAAGGCCAAAAGATATTAAAATCGATACAGCGGAGAGAGCGAAGCCGCAAAGTCGCCCTGATTTAAGTCAAAAAGCAAAACTCATAGGTAAAAAAATTTTGCCAGCAAAAAGTAAATAATTATCATAAAAATAAAAATATTTTACATTATTTTATCAGAACAGAAATTATTAACATTTAATTTTTCTACTATGACACCTTTTTCTATTCGCTCCTGCTTTTTTAAAATCACAATGGCTTTTAAAATAGCTCACATGAAGGATTTTGTCTAAACTCAAGTATAACGAAAGTTAAAGAATGTCCTCTACTGCGCAAATGTTGAGATTGATAAACTTTTTCATTTTGGTATTTATAATATTCATTTGTTGGCAATTGTCTAAAAAATCTACTTGATAAAGAATGGAAGAAAAGAAAATTGATTTTATGTTGAATGTTAAATACTTAACGAATACTCCATTCATTAAATTTCAAAATAATTTTACATGCGTTGTTAATGGTCTAAAATATGAAACCAAAGAATGATCAATTAATTAATAAATTCATATGCAAATGACTGAAGAAAAAAACACAAAGAAACAATTTATGATTCTAAAACAAGACCAAGACCAAAAGTGTAGATTTTGTGAGCATTATCGGCACATGCTGATGTTGAGAGTAAAATTCCTTGCCTGACATTTCGCTGGAAGAAAGATTGAACAATTCCTGAAGAAGAAACAACTGCACTAATTCTTGACATTACAAAATTTCTTTGAATACCTAATCGTAATTCTGAATTAAGCGGATTTTGATCAACCTTTAAAGTAACGCCAGCAATTGTTTTTGGTTCAATTGTATAAGTTGTTCCAATTGCAAATGAATTATTTTCAAATATTTCACCTAGTCCAATATGATGAATCATTAAGCATGATCTCCTAGGACCTTTTGAAAACTGTGAAGCCAATGTAAGCATCGGTGGTGAACTTTGAGACAAAGGTAAAGTTAAAGAGCCACCAAAGCCATACTTGGGCGAAGGAATATATGTGGAAAAAAGTGTCATATTTCCATCTTTAAAGTAGTTATTAATATCAATATCTATTCTTGATGTGAAAATATTACTAAGATATGTAAATGATGATCCAATATCTGGATAAGTCGAAATGGTGCTTGCAACGTTAATGGACGCGTTTTCATTAATGGGAATGTTCATAGAGGCAGTTGGCTTCGAATTTCTGCTGTATCCTAAAACGAATGGAAATCCACCAAATTTACCGTTAATATTCAATTGATAGTTTCCGGGTTGCTTCATTTCACCTGAATGATCAATTAATTCGACTGGATAGACTCTTGGTTGGATTGATAAAGCCTGGAGAATATTTAAATTTTCGTTGATTTTTTTGTTCCAAGTGACTTGAAAACCAATAATCGAATCACTTTGTGTAACATCGAATACTTGCGAAAGAAATGTTGGAAATTCTGGAGCTGTCATCCCTTTTCGATTGTTAGCCAATGTTGGAAATTTTGGATGATGATCGCATGAAATGTTATATGAAAAATCCGGAAGTGAAATATAATTTTAAGAAAAAAATGATTAATCGAAATTTGCGTCTTGCTCCCGAAGGAAAAATTGTTGAGGTGTCAGAAGAGGAACTCCAACAAGAACAAAATGCAACTTCACAAAAGAATAAACGTCAACAAGCAAAAAACGATGCAATGGATTTTTTATTGAATAACAAAACGAGACAGCAACAGGCTCCAATTACCGATTTCAAAAAAGATTTAGAAGAAATTGACAAAATTCTCGACGAAGCACTTTCAGATGACGAC